TAGCCCATTCAGAGCTAGAGAAAACAATTCTGCATGTTATATTTGTGAATATTTCTCATGGAGGATGGCAGGGGGTGGAGGTAGATGAGAGGCTGAACTTCAAGTATGACAGAAATTTGTTGACTTGTGGAAACGTGGCAAGTCCTCTGCAAGTGTGTGCGCTGTTTAGACCAAGTCTTTATAACCAGGATAGCCTGTGTGGATTTGTAGATCGTGAGCTGGCTGCATTCATACTTGAATTTTATTGAAGAGTTCAGCTGTAAACCTCAAAGTTTAAAATGTGAAAACTGAGAAGAGTAATACGAGTAGCCATGGAGAGTTCCTGTACTGATAAGGTCTCTTTGGGATTTGGGAAAAAGAAGCAGGAGAGAAAGAAAGAATAGAGAAAAAGAAAGTGATTTCTCTAGCAGCTTTAGCGCTACAACTTTAAGAGCTAAGTACAGTCAAGGCCAAAGGATAACCTGATTGGATACTGATATGTATTTAAAGAGAAAACATACATGTTCCACATTTCAAAGGAGTCCCTATTTAGACATTAATGTCTAAATATTACTGTAAATGTCCAAGACCCACCAAAAGAGCTTAGATGCAGTGTTAACAATAATTCAGTTTTTCAATAAATATCTTGAGCAGGAGGACGTTTATATTTTAGAAGATTAAAATCATTGCTATAAAAAAATCTTCCACTTATTCATCCATAAAGAAAATCATGACAAATAAACATCAGATGTGATTTTAGCCCACATTTATTAAGGGAATTATTGACTCATGAAAGAAGAAAATTATGCAATTTCTATGATGATTCATTGTTTGGTGCTTTCAAGAATAAAGATGCCAATTTTAATAAATGCAATATGAATCTCTGCCCAGGACCTAGGAAATTCAAGGGATGGTTATCAACGAATCATATCCACTCCTGAATTTAATAACCCATTTCCAAATGTCAGCCACCAACCTGCAGTTAGAAACAACCATTGCTTTATTCTCTCCTCAAGTTAAAGGAGTGACAGTGGGAAGATGAAAACGTTTTGTCCCCATTACCAGCTTGGTGCGCTATCTACCTGCACGGCTTCCTTGATAATTATTCCCTCCACATCATTGCTCGAATCAACAGGTGCACCACCACGCTAGACTCCCCACCAAGTCCTGTCTGCCGACAGCTTGTAACCTGCCAAGCAAAGGCAAATGAAAAACAAGCATGTCTGTCCTCCTTTCATACCCCATTTTCCCCGTTAACTATTTCTAGTACTTTAAAAAGTCCCCACAAGGTGGCAGAATTGTAACACGTTGAGATTGATGAGCCTCCGCTGAGACCGTGAATTTTTTTTTATTGTTGTTTTAACATATTTTAGAGATCAGTGTGTCCAAAACAATGCAGGTAAAGCATCACGCCCGTAGAGATGAGGACTCCTTCAAGTATACTCTAGCTTAGAGAAGGATGATTCATCTTGCAATGAGCATTCTTTCAAGTTTCCTTAAAATTATCTCATTAGGAGATATTTTCTCTTACCCTTTTTTCTTAGCTTAGATTTCAAGGGCAAGCGGAGTTGAAAACATCCTAAGTGAGAAGATCATTTTATTTCTGTGCAAAGCATGAGGCAGTTTCTATTCCATCTCACATGTTCCCCCTTTAAAATGCTAGAAGGAAAAAAGAAGCTTGAGCAGCTGGATGAGCAGCTCCACCCACTGTGGGCCGTGAGGCAGAAGGAAGAGAAGAGGAAGCAACGCCAAGCAAACCAATACACTGGTGCTGCCCTGCACCCACCGTGTTTTTTTCTTTTTGAAACAGGCTCTTGCTCTGTTGTCCAGGTTGGAATGCAGTGGTGCAATTATAGCTCACTCTAACCTTGAACTCCTTGGCTCAAACGATTCTCCTGGCCTTAGCCTCCTGAGTAGCTAGGACTTTTGGCATGCACCTACATGCCTGGCTAATTTTTTATTTTTTTAATTTGTTGTTGTTGTACTTTTGGAGAGACAGAAAAGGGCAGGGGTCCTCACTTTGGTTGCCCAGGCTAGTCTCGAACTACTGGCCTCAAGCAGTCTTCCTGTCTCGGCTTTGCAAATGCTAGGATTATAAACATGAGCCACCATGCCCATCCCTTACACTCATCAGACTTGGTTTCAGTTCACCCAAGGAAAACTGATGCAAGGAAGACATCCTTTAACCAAGCAAGGGGGAGATCTAGATTTGTATAACCAAGCAAGGGGGAGATCTAGATTTGTATAAAACATTACCAAATTAGAGGATTGGGAATTTTTGTCCCACTTCAGGCCTCTTGACTGGTTGCAGTGGCTCACGCCTGTAATCCCAGCACTTTGGAAGGCCGAGGTAGGCAGATCACAAGGTCAAGAGACGGAGACCATCCTGGCTAACACGGTGAAACCCATCTTTACTAAAAATACAAAAATTAGCTGGGCATGGTGGCGTGTGCCTGTAATCTCAGCTGCTCCAGAGGCCGAGGCTAGAGAATCACTTGAACCTGAGAGGTGGAGGTTGCAGTGAGCCGAGATCACGCCACTGCACTCCAGCCTGGAAGCAGAGTGAGATTCCACCTCAAAAAACAAACAAACAAACTCTCTTACACCAGCACTTCTCAGTCCTTTTCCAACTGCCAGTTTAATAAAGGAAAGTGATAGAAGTTTTATTAAAACAATATCCATCCTGTTGCAATTCAACGATAGTAAGCATTGTCTTGGATGTCCTTAAAAACAAAGGACTGTATACCGTTACATGCTAGAGTGATCAGTTTGGTACAACTCTTTTCTGTAACATTGGCTCGTTTGAGAACACCGTTTTATTAACCACTGCTTCTGCCTGCTTCTTGAGGGCCATTGCAGAAATGAAGGAGGGTCTAATCCAGGAGGGGCTCTTCTTCCTACATTTCAAGTGGGCGTGTCCTGTAAAGATTCTTAAAAGAACTTTGACAAAATCCCTGTCCTTTTCTGGTCAAAGGTGTTTTCTAAAATGGCTTGACCAGTGCCATGTCCATCTAGAAAATCTGATAGTATACAACAAAACAACAACAACAAAAATAAACTAAACTAGAAACTGCTGCTTAGCTCGGGACCAGTTTTGGATACACATGTCCAGTCTGCCAGCAATCAAAACATTCCCCACCATGTACAGCTGCTACCAGGAGTGTACAGCTGCCACCTTGAAAATGTTTTAAATTTTAATAGAGAAGTTATATTCACATTTACATATGGTAATTAGACAAGTGACCAATAGCAATAATATGGACATAACCCACTCAGTGGTGGTTCTCTTTTCAGTTACACATAATTGTTTCCTAATTCCTCAGCATCTCAGCATCCGTGGACATTTTTTAATCCCTCAATTTTCAGAGCTGAGGGTGTAAAAGATGTTTCAGTGAAATTCTGCCCCCAGTGGACTCACAGCAGATAGGATTCTCTTAAGAGATTTCGGAGGCAGACTGCAGGCTGCGCATGTTTGTCGAGATGGTCCTCTGTCCGGGAAATATCGTGAGAGGCTGATAAAAGATCCCAATTCTATTAATAGAAGCATTCATGACAGAGATCTTAAGCTACCGAAAAGCCTCTCCATTCGAGTTCTTTTTGCAGGCAGCGTAGCAAGAAAGGTACCACATGCTGATTCTAAAAGAGGCCATTCAGCTCTGAGAATGAATAGCATTTTCCTGTCCTACCCACGGGGTTTTGCATAGCTATGTGAATTTGGGCCACAGTCTGCTCTTTATAACTGACCATCTCCTGGGAAGCAAGAAGGGAAATACTTCCATGAAGACCAATTTTATAGCATTTCAAAACACTTTAAGCCTTTTACCTGCTGTGGCAGAGTGCTTCGTTTGACTAAGATCAAGGGAAAAGAGAACAAGGCTTTTCCTCATCAAGTAAAAATGTCCTGTGTGCTGATGAGTCATCGCTGAGGAACACTCTTTGGGAAGAACACGGTGCATCAAAAGCCTGCCTTGGGCTGCTTGAGAACCTCTGCTGAGTCAGCGCTCACTGGGGCAGTGGCCAGAGCTATTAAGTACAGATCTTAAAAACAGATGTGTCGGAGAGAGTGTGCAGGTTATTTTCTTATGTACTGTGTGTTCTAAGAGACTTCCTAAGCAGCCTGTATATCAAGCTATCTTGTGAAAATAGAGAACAGGAAAAGGAATTGTGGCTTCGATAATTTAAGGAGCTTCGCTTATTTATGGAGCTGTGTGTTATGGTAGCCAAATGTGATCTCCACAGCCAGGACTGCTGTATACTTTGCAAGCCCCAGTGCAAAATGAAAATGCGGGGCCCCTCATTCAAAAATTTTTAAGAATTTCAAGATGGTGAGAGCAGAGCATTAAACCACGTGACTGCACTGCACAACCGCGCACCTAGCTCTCCCTCTTCAGCACCCTAGGAAGCTGATTTTTGAACAGTGGCAGTTGAAATGGTGTATGGTGGGTTACATTTTTTAAATGTACGGGGTTGCCTAGCAACTGGCAAGGGCCTGAATGGGCTGACTTGCAGGTTTAGATACACCATCTTGAAAGTCTAAATTCATGAAAACCTTCTAGTGGACTGATAATTTTCAAGAAAAAGTAATATAGTGGGAGATGGAAATGGGGAGGGCAAGAAAAAACACATTTTTCTACTCCTAAAACCCAGCTGGCTAGCTTGTTATTTTCCCTGTTCAATCTTCTAAGAATGAAACTCTTCATATGTGAAGGAAAAATGAAAGGGAAATTCCAGTTTTCTCAGAAATATAAATAAAATTGTAGAGGATAATGAAACTATGAATTAATCAATAAATATGTTTGGGCACATTCATTTAGCAATTCAAGGGTGTGATATGAGAAAACTGATTCATAGTCACTGAGCACTTGGTAATAGGTACTTATTATGCAGTAGATTACACCAATGAATAAGGTATAGTTTTTATTCTTAAAGAATTACGCTGATATGTAAGAAACAATTAGCATCATTACCTTTTTAAAGAACAACCCATAATCCCCTGTCTTTTTCTCCTTGGTATTTTACAGGGTCCTTGTGCTGCAGAATTAGAACCAGCTCTTTTGATAGGGAGCAAGCAGTTCGGGCTTTCAAAAAACAGTCACATTGCAATTGCATTTGATGACACCAAAGTTAAAAACCGGTATGTATCATTCTGAGACACTGGGAAAGAATTGATAAATGAAGAACCGGGTATTTGTGTTTAATCACATTTAATCTACTACCCTTATTAATTAATGAAGTTAGCTTTTTAAAATCACTGAAAACAGTAGAGAATAGAATTATATTTTTCTGAGCCAGAGGAGCCGAATTTAGGAAATCAGTAGCCCAGGAAATGCATCTCTGAGTAAGTTTTACTATCCTGTCTGAAAATGGACCCACGATCTGATACCGCTCTATTTTAGCATGAGAATGCTCTTATTTTTCTGTTTGACGTTGCATGCTTTTGTTTCAGTCTCACAATTGAGTTGGAAGTAAGGACCGAAGCTGAATCCGGCTTGCTTTTTTACATGGCTCGCATCAATCATGCCGATTTTGCAACAGTGCAGCTGAGAAATGGATTGCCCTACTTCAGTTATGACTTGGGGAGTGGGGACACCAACACCATGATCCCCACCAGAATCAATGATGGCCAGTGGCACAAGGTAAGAGTCCCCTGGATATTGGCAGTACCCTAAGGGAATTACTGAGTGGCAGCCATCAGCATTCTCCTGGTGCCAGTGAATTTTGCCAGTGCAGACACTGACTCTGGCAGAAGCTAAAAATAAAATGGGTGCCATATACGACTACCACCATTTTGCAAAATGTGATCAGACTTGAGTAGGTTTACATTTGATCACTGACATGCCTCTTCCTGGTTCCATCTCAGCTATATGGCTGTGGTTCCCAAACATCTATCCATAAACTGAGGCAAGATGGCTGAAGACATTTCCACTACTGACAGTGAGAAACACAGAACAACAGAATGTGTTCATCATAAAGCTCTGTGTATTCAATTTCAAGGAATAATATTTATTCTGAGATTCTATTTTAGCATTTTTATGGTGTCTAAAGGGCCTTTCTATTATGAAATAGTATTTGGCAAAAGCAAAAGTTGACAACGCTAAAATGGCTCCCAACACTCCCCACCTAACCACATACCGGTCTCTGAAAACCAGGAATCTGGGAATCTCTGCTTTATGGTGTTGAAAGGGCTCTAAGGTATCATTTCCACTGACAGTTATTTGGAACAACTTTAAAAACGTTGGCCTTACACCCAGAAACTGGTACTATTATGGGCACAGAGGCTCATTTGCCAACTTACTCTCCTCTTTGGCATGACTGCAAATGGATAATATACTGCCTGATTAAAACACCATCTCAACATTTGTCTCTGCACCTGCGATAGCCTGTTAAAGTAAAGCTTCCCTAGGTAGACCAATAAAATTTTTAATTTTCAGAGTACGATATTATTAGATGTTAGATTTCGTTAATGTTAACATACTTTGACTTGTCATATTCTAGAAAGCCAAAGAACCTTAAAAAACGCAAAGCCAACCAATTTGTTATTATGGAAATAAGAAAAGGAATCTTCATTTTTGCTGGGAGCTTATGACTAGCAAATCCAAATCCAAATGAAGGAGCTCTCCTTAAGGTTTCTTCTATCTCTAGCTAATAGAATAATAAATATGACACTTGAGAAAAAGACATATTGTTGAACCACAGTGAGTCTGAGATTAAGAAAGGGAACTTAAATACTGTAATTAGTGAAATTAAAAGCGGATTTTATTTCTGATGTTTTTTTAAACTTACTTCCTAAACCAGAATATATATGTGTAAAATGAAGTATTAAATTACTCTAATCCTAACCCAGACTCATTTTTAAACCATCATTGTATTTTATTAGCATTTCACAGGCTTACATGCTCCTTTCCATAAATTCAGACTCAAGGTTTTTACACTCTACACTAGTCTCTGCCAGTCTCTAACCCCTTATTTCATACTGTCTCAGAATATAATTCACTCCGCTGCCCTAATTTCAGCCTCAGTCAGTTCTTTGGCTTCCAGCTTTGCACTAATCAGGTTCTGCAGAAAGCAGCACAGCCTATTTGTGCCATTATTCCTTTAATTCTGCACAAGAAGGGCCTGTTAGGCAGAGGGATGTAGCATATCTGAAATTCTGAAATTGTGTTGGGAGCCCAGGCTCTTTGTTCAATCAAACTAATGCACTTTTCAAACTGTGCATGAATTTTGCTGCTCACTTAATTCATGAGCGTGCTATTAGTCTGCGGGCTTCCTTAAAATATTCCTCCCTCCTGACACATATCTACTCTTGGCAACCTACAGAGGAGACTTCAACCTACAACCGATCCAGGAAAATTTTGTATTCTTTTGGTGATAGTAGTCCTGGAAAAGATAGAGTTAGAGCTATGCTATAAGATGGCTTTAACTTTCTCATATATAATGGGCTTAGCACATAATAAGCACTGTGTAAATTGTTTCAATTTTTCTTGGTAACATCTTTGAAATCCTTGTGTCTTATACTCTGCATATTTGAAGTTTGTTCAGGATTGGCATTAATGACACCTTTCTTTTTTTGTAGATTAAGATAATGAGAAGTAAACAAGAAGGAATTCTTTATGTGGATGGGGCCTCCAACAGAACCATCAGTCCCAAAAAAGCTGACATCCTGGATGTTGTGGGAATGCTGTATGTTGGCGGGTTACCCATCAACTACACTACCCGAAGAATTGGTCCAGTAAATATCTAATTTCTTCTTTGTTACCTAAATATCTGGCTGATCCATTTATTGATATATTTCGAATTATTAGGTCATACAGGCCTGTGAAAATGGTTAGGTGAATAGGAAGTCATCTTTTCTGATAAGTGACAGAAGGAGATTAGATTATAAGAGACAATACCACAGAACATTGAGTGGGGCCCTGGCATCAGACTCCCATGGTTTGAATACCTATTAAACTATTGACTAGCTGTGTATTTTGGAGCAAATTAATCTTTTTCAACAACGATTTCTCTTTTGCAAAATAAGGTAATGATAATACTCAACAAAGAGGATTGCATAAAGATATTTAAAGTGATTGGGTTGGGCGAGGTGGCTCACAGCTGTAATCCCAGCACTCTGGGAGGCCAAAACAGGAAGATCACTTGAGGCCAGGAGTTCGAGACCAGCCTGGTCAACATAGTGAAACCCCATCTCTACAAAAAATACAAAAAATTAGCCTGGTGTGATGTGTGCTTGTAGTCCCAGCTACTACAGGGGCTGAGGCATGAGAATCACTTGAACTCAAGGAGAAGAGTTTGCAGTGAGCTGTGATAGCACCACTGCATTCCAGCTTGGGCAACAGAGTGAGACCCTGTCTCAAAAAAATAAATAAATAAATAAAAATAAAGTGATTGGAAGGTTAGCAGACATATAAAAAGCACTGAAAGATGAAAATGATAGTATTCATGGTGTTTCAGGCGAAGAGATTTAGCAAATATCGAGAGATGCAGTAGTCAGAGCACAGTTATCCAATTTTGGATTCTGAATTTAAAGGCCTTACAGTTTTGTAAGTTGATATACACAAAATAATTTTTTATAAGACCACGTATCCTAGTTTGCTTTGGAAAGTGCTGCTGAGAGAAGTATGGGAGATTGATTGGTGCTTTTAGAGAACACACTAGATACAAATGTGATACATCTCTATACTCAAATTAGAACGCGTGATAATGGAGATTTGTTCATTTATCAAAGACAGTCACCCATTATAGTTGTAATTCTCAGCATTTGTGGATCATCAGTATTACTTTCCTTTCATAGCTATTGGGTTTGCTTTTTAGATCTATCAAAAACAAGAATCTCTGAAGTGACAGTGGTAAAAGCAATTAACTTGAATTTCTAAAAACAGAGTATGATTGAGTTACTTCTAAATTCCTTGGACCCCCAATGTTTCTTGTAAACTTTCGAGTTTTATGCATATTTGCATTTTCTTAGGGGTCTGCTCCTTTCATTAGATATTGAAAAGGAAGAAGCACTGAACCAAACCTAATTACCTTCCAAATGGAAATTGAACATAGGCTGTGACAAAATGTGTATATAGTAAAGTTAATAAACTATTAGTAGAAACATAAAATCAGGAGCATAGGAGACCAGTTAAAACTTATGATACCCACATGAGTCCCGTAGCTCTGTCAAACCAATGGAGATATAGTGTGCAGTATTCAGACTAACAGACCAGTCATATTCCAGGATCGATACATTAAAGTTCAGAAGCACAACCTAGGATTTTCTGCACCCATGCCAGGAAGCCTGGTGGTAATAGAGAATCCAGGCAGCTTTGGGGGAATGTCCTATCCTAAGACAACCGGCCCATATCTACACACATAAAGTACCCCACAAATGACTGTATTCTACATAAAGGCAAAGTTCTGCTGAAACCCAACATTTGTTTCTTCTGATCTGGATATTTAGGTGACTTATAGCATTGATGGCTGCATCAGGAATCTCCACATGGCAGAGGCCCCTGCTGATCTGGAACAACCCACCTCCAGCTTCCATGTTGGGACATGTTTTGCAAATGCTCAGAGGGGAACATATTTTGATGGAACAGGTTTTGCCAAAGCAGGTAAGGCTCTTTCATTTCCTTCCTGTTGATTATTAACTAGATACAAATACTAACTTCTTGCTAGTACCAAATAATGAAAGTTCACAGAGTCCGGAACTAGTAGTATCCTTTGTTTAAGCCAAACAGAAAGTTATGGAAGTAATTTCAAAAGTGCCTCTTAAAAATTCATGTATCTGATCCTGGTAAGAATTAATAGGAGAAATAAAGAAAAGGCCTATTTAGAGAATTTATTCCATCTCCTTCACTGGAGATTAAGAACAGCAAAATAAATAATTTTGTAAGAACAATAATATGTTTATATTATGTTGTTTTTCTATCTTCTGATTTTCCCTGATTTTCTGGAGATGAGACATGACTTTTTTCTTCTTTTCAATTCCCTGCAAGGCTGTGTTTCATAATCTCCTCCCCTTCAATACACACCCATACACACAATGCACACTGGTGTCCATTTCTTGTTTATGCTGACAATGACTGGCATTTTTCCTGGCTTTCTCTAAGTATGTCCTCTACTTCATTTCCAATGAACATTTCCAGTGTGGGTCTATATCACTGGTCATGAAGGTACAGTTAAAAAAAAAATAGGAAATATCTTCTACATAATAATTTTTTAATTCTTTAATTTTTTATTTTTGTGGGGTACATAGCGAGTCTATATATTATATTTATGGGTTACATGAGATATTTTGATACAGGCATGCAGTGTATAATAATCATACCAGGATAAATGGGGTATCTATCACCTCAAACACTCATCCTTTATGTTTCAAATAATCTGATTGTACTCTTTTAGTTATTTTTAAATACACAATTAAATTTTTTTTGCTGTAGTTACCCCTGTGCTAGCACATACTAAATCTTATCTATTCAAACTATTTTTATATTATTAACCATCCCTACTCCTCCCTACCACTAACCTTCCCAACCTCTGGCAACTATGCTTCTACTTTCTACTTCCATGAGTTCAATTGCTTTAATTTTTAGCTCCCACAGGTAAGTGAGAACATGTGATGTCTGCCTTTGTGTGCCTGGCTTATTTCACTTAACATAATGACCTTGAGAACACCCATGTTGTTGCCAATGGCAGGATCTCATTCTTTTTTATGGCTTGAACGGTACTCCATTGTGTATATGTGCCACATTTTCTTTATCCATTCATCTGCTGGTGGGCACTCAGGTGGCCCCCAAATCTTGGCTACTGTGCTGCAATAAACATGGGAATGCAGACATGTCTTCAATATTCCTTTGGTTATATATCGAACAGTGGAATTGATGGATCCTACGGTAGCTCTATATTTGGTATTTTGAGGAACCGCCAAACTGTTCTCCATAGCAGTTGCACTAGTTGACATTCCCACCAACAGTGCACAAGGGTTCCCTTTTCTCCACATCCTCGTCAGCATTTGTTATTGCCTGTCTTTTGGATAAAAGCCATTTTAACTGGGGTGAGATGATAGCTCATTGTAGTTTTGATTTGCACTTTTCTGATTATCAATGATGTTGAGCACCTTTTTATATACCTGTTTGCCATCTGAATATCTTATTTTCGGAAATGTCTATCCAAATCTTGTACTCATTTTTAAATAGGATTATTAGATTTTTTTCCTATAGAATTGTTTGAGCTCCTTTTATATTCTGGTTATTAATCCCTTCTCAGAGGGGTAGTTTGCAAATGGTCTCCCATTTTGTAGATTGTCTCTTCACTTCGTTGACTGTTGCCTTTGCTGTGCAGGAGCTTTTTAACTTGATGTGATCCCATCTGTCTATTTCTGCTTTGGTGGCCTGTGCTTGTGGAGTATAACTGAAAAAGTCTTTGCCCACTGCAATGTCCTAGAGAATTTCCCCAATGTTTTATTGTAATCGTTTCATAGTTGGATGTCTTACATTCAAGTCTCTAATTCACGTTGATTTGATTTTTGGATATGGCGAGAGATAGGCGTCTGGTTTCATTCTTCCACATATGAATATCCAGTTGTCCCAGCATCATTTATTGAAGAGACTGGTCTTTCCCTAATGTATGTTCTTAGAACCTTTATGGTAAATGAGTTCACTGTAAATGTATGTATTTATTTCCGGCTTCTCTATTCTGTTCCACTGGTCTGTGTGCCTGTTTGTATGCCAGTACTATTCCATTTGGGTGACTATAGTTCTGTAGTATAACTTGAAGTCCAGCAATGTAATTCTTCCAATTTTGTTCTTTTTGCTTAGGATAGCTGTGGCTGTTCTGGGACTTTGGTAGTTTTATATGAATTTTAGAATTTTTTTTTGATTTCTGTGAAGAATCTCATTGGTATTTTGATAGGGATTGTATTAGATCTGCAGGTGGCTGTGGGTAGTATGGACATTTTAACAATATTGATCCTTCCAATCCATTAACATGGAATAGCTTTCCTTTTTTGTGCCCTCTTCAATTTCTTGCATCAATGTTTTATGGTTTTTATTGTATTTTTCTCTGAGATCTGGAACACAAGCAAGGATACCCACTTTCACCACTGTAATTCAACATGCTATTGAAAGTCCCAGCTAGAGCAATCAGACAAGAGAAAAAAGTAAAGGTCATCCAAGGAAGAAGTCAAATTACCCTTGTTTGCAAATGATATGATTTTATATTTGGAAAAGCCTAAAGACTCAACTAAAAAACCATTAGAACTGATAAATCCAATAAAGCTGCAGGATGCAAAGTAAACATACAGAAATCAGTAACATTTCTATATGCCAACAGCAAACAATCAGAAAAAGAAATCAAGAAAGTAATCCCATTTACAATAGCTTTGTAGAAATAAAACACTTAGGAATTAACTGAAGAAGTGAAAGATGTCTACAGTGAAAACTGCATAATAATTTTTTAAATCTGCCATTAATATACTTTAAGATAGAATATTCAGTCCTGTGGCATCACAGAAATGTGTATATTCATTAGAAAGAAGCTAATAAGCACATAATATGTGGAGATTATGATGAGAAACAGAGAAATAAGTAATGTAGTTATTTCTATCAAGAATATATTATTAACTGGTAAGATTCTGTTTGCTCAGAAATTAAAAGAAGGCCAGTAAAAATTATTAAAAACTCCAAAAGACATAAAAGCACAGTTCTTTAGATACTTAGAAAAAAATATTAATTTTGTTTGGGAAAATCAGGAAACGTTTCATGGAGGAATTCGCATTTGAGCAAGGATTCATATGATTTTAACACTCCCATACAAAGTAATGGGTGATAAAAGAACAGGACCCTCCAGCAAAATATCGGTAGGAAACAAGGAAACCTCACCTACACAGAAGCATAAAACAGAAAAACAAAGGATATGTTAAATATTGAAACGTTACGGGTTATGCTGGACCCCAAATTCCATGTGCCATGAAAGTATAAAAGTTTCCCCAAGATTTCTGCAAATTCACAGATGGCTAGCGTTCTCTTAAATTTTATGACAAGTTTCAGCTTCAACTTTTGCAGTTAATGGATTGACTTGCCATCCTGCCTTGGCTCTTACAATTCTGGATCAAACCAAACCAGAAAATTACCCACTTCCTCAGTTTTTAATGAATCTTACCATCCCCTGAGCACACAGAGTAATACAGCTTACATAAGACTTGGGTGGCCAGAAGAGATGACTTCACTGGAAAACATACAACTCTTCTTAACCTTTGACATCTTTGCTCTTAAAAGTTTCCATCCACCCAATCACCAGGGTTTTCTTTGGCCTCTTCATTCCTTCCGTGCTCAGCTGAACTTCCTCTTCTCATTCCTCTCTTTTCCTTCTCACTTTTTATTTTGTAGAACAATTCAGCTTCTTCTGCCCTTTACTTTATTATTTATTTACAGAAGGGGCGTCACTATGTTGCCCAGGCACAACTAGCTGGCTTTTATTCTTAAAATCTGCTATAAACCCACCTTTGCCAATCCAAACCCATCAAGGTTCTCAGTAGAACAAAAAGTCTTTCACATAACAGCTACCACCCTTCATTGGAGACAGCCATGGCTACACGTAGCATTTATTTCTTGCCTAATAAATAGAAGACTTGGAGAAAATGCCCCTCAGTATTTCCCTGATACTCAGTTCAGTTGATGTGATCTAGATAGATCTTAACAGACCACTTCGTTCCTAAGAGGGATGTCTTAAATACTTGCTCAAAGATTTTTTAAAATCATAAAATGTTATGGAACTTATTTCCTCAAGTTCTGGAAATCATTGGGTTAAACGTAGCTAATTTCCCCCTTATGTTATTAGAGAGTTTATATTTATATTACAAAGAAACCCAAGCAATAATATGGAAAATCATAGAGAAAAAAATTAACTGGATGAACAAGATAAGGCTACTTAATGTCCCAGAAGCTACCCATCGACATTATACTTGCAGTTTCTCTCTTTATTAATAAAATCTTTGGCAACTTTTGAACCTTTTCCAATGATTGTGGTACCATTTAGTGTGCCCCACTAAAATTTTACTGAAAAATCACGGAAATGTTTTTTCTTAACCCAATAGAGACTTCTGAGATAATAATACCTGACAGTGAGATTCTTTGAGTCAATCTCAGAGTGTATTCATTTATTCAACTAATACATGTTAAACCTCCGTGATGTATGAAATACTTTGGTAAGCACAGGGATAAGATGCTGAGAAATATAGACAATGCCTCTGATGTCACAGAACTTACATTCTAGCAAGGAAGGTAGCCCATACAATAAACAATAACTATGGAGTGTGTTACATGACACAGTAGTGGAAGTATGGGCCAGGCAGGATCTGAAACTTGCAGCCCTCATTAGAATTAGCTAGCATTTGAATTGAAATCTAGTAAGTCTTGCATTGTATACATTGGAATTAACTCTAATCCACAATATTTTAAAATCTTTGTTTTACAGTTGGTGGATTCAAAGTGGGATTGGACCTTCTTGTAGAGTTTGAATTCCGCACAACTAGAACAACGGGAGTTCTTCTGGGAATCAGTAGTCAAAAAATGGATGGAATGGGTATTGAAATGATTGATGAAAAGGTGAGTGTCAGCAAGCCAAACATTTCTGATTTCTTCTTGATATTGTTCATGTGAGGTTATCATTCATGTGTGGGGAACTCTATATCAAAGCCTGGCTTTATATTTTGTTGGGAGAAAACTAAACTGTATGTTTTCATCCTTCTGGATTATTTCAATTTGTGTACGTTTTTGGCATAACTATTGTGTGGGCCAATATAAACTTTAAATGCATTAATTCTACAGCAAGCAAATTATGTTGACTAATCATGAACCAAATAGTTTGAGATCTCAAGCTCTTACTGTGTTGCTGTAAGTACACACTCTACTCCTCTTAAAGAACACACCATCTGTGAAACTATTGACTCCAGTGGGAGAGAAGGTGGAGGTGTGGGTCATCTAAAATGAGTCTGCCTCTTTTAACAGGATGGATATCTCTTAGAAGTCAAGGTAGCCAACAGACAGAGCATTTTCTCAATTTTTATTTACAAGCATCCAGATGCTATTTCAAAAGAGAGCAGATTTATAAAAGTAATGTGTCAGACTGATAATAATTGATAATCAAATTCTAAACACCTCTTTAATCCCTGCAGTGAGACAACCTGTTTATATATACTTTGCACTATAGGCAACAGGTAAAAGGAGGAGGCAAAGCAAGAAATTTCACAAATTTTCTATTTGGTTATTAAATAGGAATTGTATTTCAACTTGGTTCACATTTCCACCCTTAGTGTTGCTTCCCAAGAAGAAAAATCACATAGTTGTCCTAAAATATTATTTTCTTGCTTTCTTTCTCCTTCTGCTCAATTTTCAAACCGTCCTCAAAAGAAAAAAGATCCACACACTTAGAGGTAAAATAAGGGTGAACAAATAGACAACACTTAATAGTTTTACCAAATTTTCCAAACACACTTTTACTACATCTTTTTCAAGTAAGCTTCATTTCATCACCTGCCATTAAGAGCGGTTACCATCTAGGTCACTGTCGTGTGCACTTCTCACTAATCTCCTTTTACGTGCAAAACCCTCTTATGCAAATTCCACCTATTATAGTAAATATTTCAGTCGTATTTACTCATTTAGAGTTTGCAAACTTTTCACCTATTTACTTGCATTTTTAATCTTCTTTTTAAAAATCCCATTTCTTTTATTTTACCCTGTCAAATGTGTTGCCAAACTGATTAATGTTTTTAATGTTTCAATATGTTTCTTTTCTTCATCAGCTTCAAAAGAATTCTGTCATCTCAAATTTCAGGGGGCCTTTCCACATTACTAAAAACAGATTTTTCTCATTTAGACCAGAACCTCTAATCTAAGTTCCTCATTGTTCGGAATTTAACTGGCCTTCTGGCTCAGGTCTTTGGCACCTGTGACATGAAACGGTCCCCAAAATGTAATTTATGTAACTCTCAATCTTGCATATAAAATGAAATCCATGAAGGAAAAAAAATACAATTAAAACATCAAAAGTTTAAAATTTGAAAAATCCTTTACTTTGAATTTGTAGACCAAATTTATGAGTCACTTTAAATACATCTTTTAAGAAAATTTTATAAGGTTCAGTAAGAACTCGCACATTCTGAAAAGACCTGAGGTAGAATTTTTCCTTGTGTATACTAGGCCCTTTTCTTGTCACCTGGCCTCAAATTTTCCTGAAAGCAGAATTATTTCCAGCTTCACATACCTTGTCTATTAACTCCCAACAATGCCCCAAAGCAAAGAGCGTAATTTGTGACTCATGGTGATTAGATTTATACTTTAATTTCTGTCAAGTTTTAAAATTTTTTCAATATGCCCAGTTATGTCCATTTCAAATGATTCTGGCCGATGTCTTTCCTAGAGACCTGATAATTTTTATACGTGAACTATCATGATACTCCTTTAATGAAACCATCTGTGACTGTTCTATTTCCTACTTTCCAGCTGATGTTTCATGTGGACAATGGTGCTGGCAGATTCACTGCTGTCTATGATGCTGGGATTCCGGGGCATTTGTGTGACGGGCAATGGCATAAAGTCACCGCCAACAAGATCAAACACCGCCTTGTGCTCACGGTCGATGGGAACCAGGTGGAAGCCCAGAGCCCAAACCCGGCATCTACATCAGCTGACACAAATGATCCTGTGTTTGTTGGAGGCTTCCCAGGTGAGTGTTGGCTAACCCAGCAAGAATTTCTTTGCTTTCTTATGTTAGTGGTTTTGAAAACATTTATATTGACGTATGTCTAAGAATGTTTGCTTATGTGTACTTGCTTCCTAGCTTTAGAGTCTACTCCTATAAATAGCACCTTACCTAAAATTTCCAGTGTGTAAAATGAGCTTATTACTTATATAAACCACATGGGACTCAACTTTTCATGAGAGCCCCCTAAGTTTCATTCGTGAAGAGATTGAGGCTAGAGGAAATGAATTTGGCTTATAAAAGATATGAGGCATTTAACAGCAATTCAAGCCAAACTTTGTGTTCTTTCTGATTCTTTTATTTTTTAAAAAATTAATATACCAGAGGAATCATAAAATGTTATGGAACTTATTTCCTCAAGTTCTGGAAATCATTGGGTTAAACGTAGCTAATTTCCCCCTTATGTTATTAGAGAGTTTATATTTATATTACAAAGAAACCCAAGCAATAAATCCTCATTCAAAATCCTTCTTCAGCACATTCAATATAGCATGTGAACTGCAGAGATTTACCTAAAGTGTCCATAAACAAGAGTGGCCAACTTGATGAGAAATAAGCCAAGTGCCTTTTAATAAGTCCTGTAATAACATAGGCTCCTGGAATGGTCTTTCACCATTTTTGTCAAGAGGAACTTTAGTCCCCGTTTATATAAGGCTCCTTTGCTTAACTAAACAAGCAAAATGAATATTCAGCGATTGTTGACAGACCAATGTTGACAGAGAAGCAATGGAGGCCCAAAGACAGCTCCTCTTTCCAAAGTGGCTTCTCGGTTTTAAAAAGACCTTTTGCTTTGATCAGGATAAATTCCAAGATAGTATGAAAGAGGTAATGTACTTCTTCATTTGGTCTATTAAATGAGATCCTCATTAGCAACTAGTAGGCCTGCTGAAACAAGCACCTCCATGATAAGAGGAAGAGTCTATATGAATTTCTAACCTACTTAACCTTTAGGGATTTATTTTTACAATGTAAGAAAGTCACCTTCAAAAAGTTCTAAGTCAGTACTCGAAAATATTTGATTAATTGCTTTGTTTCACGAAATAAATGTTACAATTTTAAGTCACAACTGTAAATTTGTTCATCCAAAACCAAGTTATTCCATGTCTTAAGATATGTAATTCTGGATATTTTCATATTTTATACTACATAACTATTAAAAAGTTGAGGCCGGGCACAGTGGCTCATGCCTGTAATCCTAACACTTTGGAATCACACTTTGGGTTGGAATGGGCAGATCTCTTGAGCCCAGGAGTTGGAGAGCAGCTTGGCGAAGGGAAGATTGCTTGAGCCTAGGAGGTGGAGGCTGCAGTGAAGCTTGATTGTACCACTGCACTCCAGCCTAGGCAACACAGCAAGACCCTGTCTCAACAAAAAAATTTTTTTAAATAGTCGATCTTTTTCTGCAATTCTGTAAGTCAAGCTAAACACAAAGCCACTAACTTTGCATAAAACAGCATTCCAATTTATTTTATTTTATTTTATTTTATTTGAGACAAAATTTTGCTTTTGTTGCCCAGGCTGGAGTGCAGTGGCATGATCTTGGCCAACTGCAACCTCCACCTCCCAGGTTCAAGTGATTCTCCTGCCTCAGCCTTCCGAGAAGCTAGTATTACAGGCATGCACCACCATGCCCAGCTAATTTTGTATTTTTAGTAGAGACAGTGTTTCTCCATGTTAGTCAGGCTGGTCTCGAACTCCCAACCTCAGGTCATCTGCCTGCCTCGGCCTCCCAAAGTGCTGGGATTACAGGCATGAGTCACCCGCACCCAGCGTCCAGCATTCCAATTTAATCTCAAGCTAACAGTTGACTTTGAAACATGCTCTTAATATTTGCTGCAGGAGCATTTCAAAGCTAAGCCCTCTTGCATTACATTTTTCAGAGGACCTCAAGCAGTTTGGCCTGACAACCAGCATTCGGTTCCGAGGTTGCATCAAATCCCTGAAGCTCACCAAAGGCACAGGCAAGCCTCTGGAGGTTAATTTTGCCAAGGCCCTGGAACTGAGGGGTGTTCAACCTGTATCATGCCCAGCCAACTAATAAACATAAGTGTAACCCCAGGAAAGTTCTGTCAAAACAAGTATATCAAGTAAAACAAATATATTTTACCTATATATGCTAATTAAACTAATTTGTGCATGTATATAGAAATCTTTCTGTATTCACATGGTGCCAATTTAGATTCCAGACTGAATTTTAATTCAAGTTCTTTCTCAAGTCTATAAATATTAAAGTGATTATTTCATTCTAAATAATTGCTTGTTTTGTGTGATTTTAAGGATAGAACGTAACTGGCCATAAACTGTTGAATTTGCAACATGCCCTCCAGTCATCTCAAGGAAAGAGTTCACATGTAATTTATGAAGGCAATTTTTTTTTAACTTACTCCTATTAATACTTTTATCATCCTTTACTACGTATGACAGCTTTGGCCTTCTGTCCAAGCCACTGACAGCAAGGGAATTTGACATGTGTAATTGGGAGGAAATCAGCTCCCTTACTGTCTCTGTTTGTGAAAGAATTAGCAAAATCATTTTCCTGATCCAAGTTCATTATTAGAGAGTTTAACTAGCCGTATGAGTGAATAGCTTTCTATGCTGAGGGTAGAGAGTCTAGATCAGATTCAGGCCAGAGAGTTTAATTACTTGATTTTCTTATTTGATAATGATTTATGGGCTTTGGGGAGATACCAGAACCAAGCTTATGAATGACAACTAAGCACACATTTGATACTACAGTGCTGAGATTTGCAGCCCTCTAAGCCTACAGTGACTATCAGAGTTTACACCTAGGTGGATAGGAATAATGCTGAAATGCATTTTTACTTATCAGGAAACAATAAACCAGAAACTTAAAAGGCATACTTCACTGAGTCTTTTGGAGTTGTAATTTGACCCAACAAATTCATTTTCTAAAAACAGTCTGTGTTTTGTTCTCCTTTTACCCATGATTTCAGTTTTCTTCAAAGAGCTCTGTGAGAAGACTGGCCTTGATTTTATTCACCAGCTTAAAAAGGAAACGTTTCATTTGCCATCTAGTAGACAATGGTTGCAGTCTAATAATTGAGAACATTTAAAAGAACGGGACACTTCCTTCTCCTATGGAAATTTTAGCAAAAAAGAATAATCCTGACAATGTTATCCACTAGGGAAAGGAAGGTGCTATTTGCAATCTAGGTGATGCCTGACATCTAACTATTTCATTGTCATCTATGTGCTTATTCCAATTTGTACACATAACTTCATTCTAGAGAAGCAATTCTCAACCTTGGCTGAGTGTTTTAGTAAAAAGTGCCTATTAGGGAGTTTTAAAAAAATCTGGTACCTGGTCCAGTGATTCTGATTTAGTCTAGGACATAGCCAAAGCATAAGGATTTTTTTTTTTTGAAACAGGGTCTCACGTTGTCACCCAGGCTGGAGTGCAGTGACATCATCTTGGCTCACTGCAGCCTCAGCCTCCCCAGTTCAAGTGATCCTCCTGCCTCACTCCCCAAGTAACTGGGACTACAGGTGCACACCACCATGCCAGGCTAATTTTTATATTTTTAGTAGAGACGGAGTTTCACCATGTTGCCCAGGCTGGTCTCAAACTCCTGAGCTCAAGCAATCTGTCCGCCTCATCCCCTCAAAGTGCTGGGATTACTGGCATGAACCACTGTGCCCAATCATGAAGATTTTAAAAAACATTTCCAGGCAATTCTAATGTGATGTCAAGGGTGAGAACCACTATTCTAAAAAGAAACATTACCCTCTCTGCCAACAAAAAGTTTTATAGTCATTTGAGAATCCTACTATTAGCTTTGTCTTAGTCCATTAAAAAAATAATATTATAGGCCAGATGCAGTAGCTCACACATGTAATCCCAGCACTTTGGGAGGCTGGGGCAGGAAGATCACTGGAACCCAGGAGTTTGAGACCAGCCTGGGCAACATAGGGCTACTCTGTCTCTACTAAAAATTTAAAAATTAGCCAGGCATAGTGGCATGCACCTATAGTCCTAGCTACTGCAGGAGGCTGATGCAGGAGGATGGCTTGAGCCTGGGAGGTCAAAGCTGCAGTGAGCTGGTGATTTTGCCACTGCCCTCCAGCCTGGGCAGCAGAGCAAGACCCTGTCTCAAATAAGAGAGATAGCTTTTTATATCAAATATTGGATCTAGTGAATTTAATACATGAAACATTGAATCTAGTGAATATCTTTTGACCAAAATTTACACAATAAAACTTTTTGAAAACCCATGTGTTTTAAAAGTGGAAACATACATCCGCACTAAACACTGACGTGACTTTTTGGGCTTACTCTGGACACTGAGTGGGATAGCCAGGAATAACAATGTTGAGTTCCTTAGATTAAAAGCTAAAGGCTTGCTTTCTTGAGTCCTGCAAAGAAAGATACGTAAAAACATGGAGAGGAAAGGTACTTAAATTGGCACACCTATCAGAATAAAGTCTTGCTTCAGTCAGTTTGTAGGTAGATGCCTTAGAATGATGGAATGATAGAACTGGAAGTGAATTGAGATCAGCGAATACAGTGATTCTCAAGTCTAGCTAGATATTAAAATTGCCTTGGGTGCTTAAAAAAAATCTACATTTGAGCTGGGCACAGTGGCTCACAACTATAATCCAAAGTGTTGACTTTAGGAGGCCAAGGCAGGAGGATCGCTTAAGTCCAGGAGCTTGAGACCAGTCTGAGCCACCTAGTGAAAGCCTATCTCTACAAAAAAAAAAAAAAGAAAGAAAGAAAAAGAAAAATTAGCTGGATGTGGTGGTGCATGCCTGTGGTTCCAGCTACTCGGGAAGCTGAGGTGGGAGGTTCACCTGAGCAAGAAAGGTTGAAGCTGTAGTTAGCCAGTGATCATGCCACTGTACTGCAGCCTGGGCAACAAAGCATGATCCTGTCTCAAAAAAAAAAAAAAAAAAACTCTACATCTGGTGTCACCCCAGCTCAATTAAACTATAATCTATGGGTAGGATGGAGGCATTATCATTTTCTAAAGCTCCCCACTGATTTAAATATGAAACCAGGACTGAAAAACCCTGGGCTCCTGTCACCTCCACATTTTATGGGGAGGAGCTAGAAGGAAACCAAGGATATTTTGATTCTGTGCTCGAAGTCCCACCTTAGTAAAGTTTCCCAATGTAGACCCCAAGACAGTTACATCTGGACCCAAGCAGAATTCACTGAATCAGGTTTTGGCAAAACTTGTCCCATACAAAATTCATACTCCAGAGTGACCCATGAATTTGGATAATCAAAAATTGTCCAAATTTTAAGATCAGAAATAAGGACATTTTGGCCAGGTGCAGTGGCTCATGCTTGTAATACCAGCACTTTGGGAGGCCGAGGTGGGTGGATCACCTGAGGTCAGGATTTTGAGACTAGCCTGACCAACATGGTGAAACCCCATCTCTACCAAAAATTAGCAGGGCATGGTGGCACGCACCTGTAATCCCAGCTACTTGGGAGGCTGAGGCAAGAGAATTACTTGAACCCAGGAGGTGGTGGTTGCAGGGAGCCATGATCATCCACTGCACTCCAGCCTGGGAAACAATGAGACTCCATCTCAAAATAAATGAATAAATAATAAATAAGAATATTTTATGAAAGGGAAAAGTTTCTTCTCTAGTTTTTTTTTTATTAATTTCTGGCCTCAAAAATCAAATTAATTCTTATCCCAAAACAAGATAAAACATTTTCTCTACCCAATCTTGTCCCCTCAGTGATTTCCTCTCCTCCTGCCACCCACAGCAATTATGAAGAAAGCAGAAGACTTTTCATTTATTTTCCAAACACCCACTCCTACCAGGTTGTCAGCCTTCTTCTTTAAAAAGGTGCTTTGCACTCTAGAAGAAAAACATTTGTGAGGGGACTTTTATTGAAGTTACCATGGTGAACAGCACAGACTCAAGAACAGAGTGGATTTCAGCCCCGAAGCAAGCAGAACATTGACAGACACTTAAGGCTTCAATTAGCGCTTTAAAAAATCATCACTATTCCAGATATAGGTGAAGGGGAGGAAGGCAGCACATCACACTGCCATGTGTGTACCTATGCAACAATCTTGTATGTTCTTCACATGTACCTCAAAACTAAAATGCAATTAAAAAATAAATAAATAAATATAAAAAAGAAAGAGAGGAAGGAGGAAGGGAAGGAGGGAGGGAGGGAGGGAGGGAGGGAGAGAGGAAGTAAGGAAGGTAGAGTGGGTGAATTTCATGGTGTGTGAATTACATCTCAATAAAGCTGTAAAATAAAAAAAAAAAATCACTATTTTCTGCTACTTTGATTTAACCTACTGTCCCCAACTACGGAACTCTTCTAGCGATCCTACTTAATGACAGAGGAAAGGGGGACTTTGACAAATTGAAAATTTCTTGATTTCATATGAATTATTTGCTTATTTTGTGTATGATATAATCTGTTATTAACGCGAAAACAAAACACAATATCGTCATCAATTTTTGCAAGCCCTGAGTATAGTAGTCTTTTTTACTACCACTTGCAAAGGATACTACTTAACTGCTGATGCCACTTTTTATCTCATTTTTAATGTCTTTTACTCTGTTCAATTAAGAGAGATATAGGAACATTCGCACTTTATTGCCCTGCTCAACTGAGATTAATACACACCTCACATCTAAAGTGTACCTGGAGGGAAGTGATGCCCCAGGCTGGACCCCAGATTCCAACATGATTTCGGAATCTTGGCCTGCAGGATGGTGGCTCATTCTTTGGCCTTTGTGCCGATGACCTAAGTCAGAATGATGTTTGTCCCCATTATTGACATGATGGTGTTATGGGCTGAGCTGTGTCTCCAAAAAATATATGTGTCAAAGTTCTAAACCCCAGTACTTCAACAAGTGACTCTATATGGAGACGGGACTTTTAAAGAGGTAATTAAGGAGAAAAGAAGTCACATGGGTGGGCCCTGGTTCAATATGACTGATGTATGAATTTGAGAAGAGATTAAGGCATAGCTAGGCTTAGAGAGAAAACCATGTGAAGATGAAGAGAGAAGACAGCCACTCACAAGCCAAGGAGGGATGCCTCCAGAAAAAATGGACCTTCCCAACACTTTGATCTCAAATTTCTAGCCTCCAGAATTGTGAAAAAATATATTCCCATTGTTTATGCCACCCTGTTTGTGTTACTTAGTTATGGTAGCGCTAGAAAACTAATATGGAGTGTTTCTGCACTAAAAAAATACGAATAATAATATTTTAAACATTTAAAGTATCAGCACATTTCAGATTCT